GAATTATGGGGAAGGTAAGAGGATAAAAAATTTAAGTGTTGAGATCTTAGAGCAGATGGTTCTTCAGATGTTGGGGTTCCGGGCTGTAACATCGTGTTGTCCTATAAGATTATGCCCCCCCCCATAAATCGGGGTACCAACTTCTCCTTGTGACATTTTGGCAGTAAATACAGTAAAACCTGCCTTAAAAGAGTCACTATTTTAAAATTAAACAAGTTGACGTAATACAAAATGGAAAAAAAAATTGGAGATGAAAACTGGAGAATAAAGAGATATCAAGATGATGTAAAGATTCGAGGAATTGCAGAAATTTGAGGTACATCGGAATTATTTAATGTGATTTTTTAAAAATGACATTAAATCATTCCTTTCTACGTCAAATTTCTGCAGTTCTTCGAATCTACATCATTTTGATATACTCGTATCTGTGTTGAACGTGTATTAGATAAAATAAACTGGGATGTGCACATAATAAAAGATCAAAATAAATAAACATAAGGCTTACGTGAAAATTTAGGCAGCCAACAGACCAAAATGCGTGAAAAAATCTCCTTGTGTTCTGGTAAAATTATTGCAATACCAGAACACAAGCAGAATCTTTTCATGCATTTTGGTCTCTTGGCACGAATACACGGAAACTGACCCCTTTAGGGTAGGATTTACTGTAAAAATTGAATTGAAATTCAATACAATACAAATACAAATTAATTGAAAATTGAACACTTTTTTATTGGAATTTAATGAACTATACTATAAACCATGAACTATAATGAAAAATTACAGAAACAATTTAATTATATTGGAATGAACTATATTGTAGCGTGTTCTTTGTGTCACGCTACAAATGAATTCACCTCATCCGATATAGCGAATTTATTCCTTTCGCTCACTATACACACTTTACAATCATGGCCATTTGCAGTGTTACAGATACTGCTTACAATAACTCGGCCGACACTCAACTGTCTTTACTGGCGGTTTAAGCAGACTCTCTTCTGCAGCGGATATCCCAAGACTGACTGCTTCTCGTCGAAGCCGGGCTATTTATAACCTTGGCCGCTGCTAGGCAAATGAATCCTTTGTCATAGCAGTGGAAACGTTGCTCTGTTGGTTCCCCGTTTCCTACGCAATGACCCATTGTTATTGCGTCGTCTCTGTGGAAACGCTTCGCGTATCTGTCGTAACCATGGAGATTCAGTGTTGGAGCTACAATAGAGCAACTGTTGTTTCTTATGCAAAGGTCTATTCTATTCTGGCGTTTCCCTAGAAGTGACTCTTCTGGATTGCCAACACGTTACATTGCTCCCTTCTAAAGGTTGTTCGTCCCCGAATAGCGTAAAGATTCTTCCTCGGTTTTGATTCCATGGTGTTCTGCTTGCAACGTCTGCATTCGGCCTTGGTGTCCTTTGCGCGTCTTATTTCAGTGTTCATTTTACCGCATCCGCCCCTCTCTTCAGTTGTGCTCGTCTCGAGCACTCCTGTGGTCCAGCATTTGTTGGTCGCCTTGTTTCACATTCATTCCTCACTTTCATTCGTCCCACATTCGTTCTCTCTGGGTAGGCCAATGCTTCTATTACCGGTTCCTCCCATACTGGCCATTTTCTTTTTACGTTTTGTAGGGGGTCGACCCCTCCACAGTGTCCAGTCCATGACTTGTGGTGCGCTAACAGAAGATCCGACTATTCGCTTTCCGATCCTCACGCTGACAATCTCGTAGAGGGTCCTCATCCCCTCGGGGCGTGATCGCTGCCCTGATCTACACCTTCCGGTGGCGTCCTTTTTCTTCTGTCGTAGCGGCAGTCTGCCGCCTATCATCTTTCTTCCTTTCCTTCCTCTACGCTGACATCCGAAGGTTCCCTTGGGAGCTTCCTTCTTGAAGTCTTTTCTCCAACGTCGTGCCGCTGTCGCCCAACAGGATGTCCTCCTGCGGTTTTCAATCTGCCGTGCCGCCTCCACATGGCGTGTTGTTCCTCTGTTTGTGACAGCCAACTTCTTCTGTTCCATTATCTGTTGTGACTCCATTTTTGTGTGTAGCTTTGTAGGACGCGTGTTAAAGTTCGTAGAGCACTTCTGACAGCAATGTAGCGTGTTCTGTTTGTCACGCAACAAATGAATTCACGCCATTGTCCGATATAGCGAATTTATTCCTTTTGCTCACTTTACAATCATGGCCATTTGCAGTGTTACAGATACTGCTTACAATAACTCGGCCGACACTCGACTGTCTTTACTGGCGGTTTATAGCAGACTCTCTTCTGCAGCGGATATCCCAAGACTGACTCCTTCTCGTCGAAGCCGGGCTATTTATAACCTTGGCCGCTGCTAGGCAAATGAATCCTCTGTTATAGCAGTGGAAACGTTGCTCTGTTGGTTCCGCGTTTCCTACGCAATGACCCATTGTTATTGCGTCGTCTCTGTGGAAACGCTTTGCGTATCTGTCGTAACCGTGGAGATTCGGTGTTGGAGCTACAATAGAGCAACTGTTGTTTCCTATGCAACGGTCTATTCTGGCGTGTTCCTAGAAGTGACTCTTCTGGATTGCCGACACGTTACAATATTATAAACCATGAACTATATTATATTAATAATGAAAAATTAAGAAATAGTTTAATTAAAATGGAGATTTTTTAAATTAAATTGAAAAGAAGTTAACTGTAGAAAATTAATGTACTGCTATCAATGTTGGAAACATCTGAAAAGAAATAAATACGTGTTAATATTCTCAAGTAATTTTAACATTTACATGACAACTGTAATTATATATAACATCTGTTACTATAAAAGAATTCGCATAATGATTGGAATGTACATCAGAGAATGTAATAATTTTCTAATTGAGGGAATATCTGGGTATGTGTTCAGAGACAACGACTAACCTGAGTTAAGTCTTTGTGTTTTTATCGGTCCCTTTTGTGGACACTGTCGAATTCGTGATTCAACTACATTGAATTCTGTAAAGTTAAAATTGCCAAATATTGCTTCCCGTGTGCAAGCGAGCTTATCGAACCGCTATTCAAACTTTAGAGTATCTGAGAAGAGAAGAATTTAAATGAAATGTGCGTGTATTTAAACATTTGTCTGATAATTTTCTTATCCAAAATGGTCTGAAACAAGATGCTTTATCGCCATTGCTTTTCAGCTTTGCTTGAGAATATGACATTGAGAAGGTCCACGAAAACCAAGTAGGACTGTTATTGAATGCGACACATCACCTTCTTGCCTACACTGATTTGAATCTGCTGTTGTTGACGTTCCTGTAGACTTCCAAGCGATGCTGCTTCTGTTCATTTTATAGCAGTCGTACCATAAACTTCGCCACAATCCTCCTCATGTTCAGTTCCTCTGACAGAATTCGTTGACATGTACCGTAACTTAGTCCCAAGGTGTACATAGGCGTTGGATGGTCATTCTGTCTATGATGTTGCAGAATCAGATCCCTAACTTTCACGACATTTTCTTGTGTGGTGGCATTTGACGGCCATCCTGAACGATCGTCGTCATCAGTCCGTGTTCAGCCATTTTTGAAACGCTTAAACCTGTCGTAAGTTTGGTTCTAGCCTAAACTGTTGTCACAAAAAGCTTGCTTCAACATTTGGTGCCTTTCTGCAGCGGGTTTCCCAAATTTAACAAAACTGTATAAAGACACGCTGATCTCTCAGGTCAGCCATTGCCAAACTGCAAACTCGCGGAAACACAACGATAAACCCATCCACTCAAGTCGATGCCACTTGCCACACTGATTCAAGAAGGGTGTTTGGGGAGACACCTAGCGGTATTTCGATGTGCTGATAACCATTGACGTGCAAAATTCAAATTTTGGGAACTTTTTGTTAGCACCATGTATATAGATAGAGTGGATTTAATTTCGACAACTTTGATAAAATGTCTGCAATGTGATGGTTCTGAATATGTACATACCCAAAGGGTATTCATTGCCCTGAAGTAGCCCCTGATGATTCCCTGTGAACAGAAAGAAATGTTTGTTAATATTCTCGAGTTACTGCAACATTTACTAGATAACTAATATAACAGTTAGTAACTCTCCTTAAGAGTCTTGTATTACATGACCCTTTCTTATATAATCTAACATCTGCATGTGGTAAACCTCCTGCAGAACTGGCGATTAGTTGGTACGGTTTACAGACACAAACCTGTGTGGTTTATAAAAAATTTTAACTATTGACAATAAGTTTTTAAACAACATCTAGAAAACTTTTTTAAAAAACTTTACAATACCAGGAAGCTGCTGTGATTGTGAAACGTTTGAATTTATGCGTACTGTGCATTATAGGACGTGTGTATGTAATTAAATCAAAACACCTATTGTGATAGTAGTTTCCATCTTGTAATGACGTTCCCTCCGAAGATGGTCCATAAGGACCGAAACATGTAAGGGTTGATAGGTTTTCATGTAGTAATACTTATATGTCACATTGGACGATGTTACTTGTATTTGTCATTAATGAGTTCTTTTGCTTTGCTACGAAAAAAGTTGTCTTTCCTTCTCTGCTGGATTTTAGAACTGAGAAGTTTCATTAGTTTGTAAGTCAGACCTTTCCAGTGTTTTATCTGCCATTTCCAGCTGACTTCCAATATTACTTAAGAAATTAAAGTAGATTTCAGGCAACACTGCTTCCTCTGGGTCATCTTTCATGAAAATGTTAGATAATAATTTTGGACAGTTGGGAATACTATTGAAGTAACTTTTCATTGCTTCCCAGTTTTGAAGCAGTCGAGAAATGGCTGGTGTTGATGACAGCCACCTAGTTGGAACATGCCTCAAAATCTCAGTCCACTCCAAATTCAGAAATTCAAAGAATGAATTTAACTCTTCTCTTCTTTTCGCAGAGACAGAGAAGTGATTATATATATTTAAGACTACACTTTCAACATCAACATCTAATCTGTCAATTGCAAACTTAATTGTGTTATGTATGACATGGTTAGAGCAATCAGCTTGCAGTAAATTTGGGTTTTACTTCGCAGCAACTGATATACAGAATGTGATTTTCCATAGTTCACATTGGCACTGTCTGCACAATAAGAAGACACATAATTTACATCCAAGTTGTGCTTTTCTAAGCTCTGCAGCACCAAACCAGTAATTGCATAGACGTTTCCTCAGCACTTTCAACAAAATCTAGAAGTTTATTCTGCACTCCCTTTAAAGAGTCAAAGTACCAGATGCAAACAGGGTACATTTTTCGATTGTTTCTGNCGGATGCATCGGTAGCCAACAAAAAAAAAATTTTGAAGTATTTTCAGGACATCTTAAAATAGACACAGAGTCATTTACACTTTTAGGAGCAAGAACATACTTCATTATCATTTCCACTTTAGTGCGTCCGCATCAATCGCGGAATCACTGAAAATATGGGAGACAAGTTTATTTCTGCAGTCCACACTGGAATAAATTGTGTTTCACTGCATGATACACTAAACCAGTGTTTCCCAACCTTTTTGATGCCGTGGACCCCCTGAACCGAATGTTAATTCACCGCGGCCCCCATAAAACCCAAATTGGAAATTTTTAAATTTTATGAGTACATATCATAAAAATGAAGCAGTAACTTAAAATTTTACAACACTAAATGTGCCATTTATGACAATAAAATACTATTATAAATGGAGATATTCGGAAGATTACGAACATATCAATTAGGCGTAATATTATGAATTTAACACTCACCTAATGTGATGGCTGGTGCTGTTTTTCAGACGTCAACTTTCGAATGTCAGGATCAAAACTGGATAATTTCAGACGTAGATCTGGCTCCACGTTAAGTCTGTTCCTATATCTGTTTTTCATGTGTACAAGATGAGAAAATGTTGTCTCGCACAGATATGTAGTGGGAAATGGCAACAGATGTCTTACAGCCCTTTTGGAAATTTCAGGGTAAACAGACCTAGCTTGGAACCAAAACTCCAGTAACGGTAACGAAGGAAACAGCAATTTGAACGTCGAATCACAGGACAGCTCGATAAGTTGCTCTTCCTCGGCAGAAGGAAGTTCAAATTCAGAGTCTACAAAGGGATTTTTCATCCAGTCGTTATTTTCAAGACCAAACGGAAAATACAGACGTAGTTGAGACGCCAATGACCTCATATGTTCAATCATACTTTCAGCAACATCACTAGAAAGGGGTTGTTCACTGGAATCAATGAAATCACTCAGCATGTGAAAGGAATCGTATTTTCCTTTCTCGATACGGCTGCACCACAAATTTAACTTCTTGATTGTTGCCTCTATCTTGTCTTGCACAGAAAACACGGTGACAGATGTACCTTGAAGGCTCGAGTTAAGAGTATTCAAGATGTTAAAAATGTCCGCCAAGTAAGCAAGAGAGGAGAGCCATGCGAAATCATTTAAATAGTGTGTTAACTGAAATTTAGAGTTTATGAGGAACAACCTTACTTCGTCTCGAAGCTCAAGCAACCGCGTCAAAACCTTACCCCGGGACAGCCATCGGATTTCTGAGTGCAATAATAAGTGTTCGTGATCACTTCCCATTTCATTACAAAGCGCAGAAAATAATCGGCTGTTAAGAGGACGGGCTTTAATAAAATTGACAATTTTTACTGCCTCGTCTAGAACGATTTTCATTTTGGAGGGCATACGGCGTGCAGCTAATACTTCGCGGTGTATGCAACAATGTGTCCATTTAACAAGAGGTGCGACTTTCTGGATACGTGCGACCAAACCATTATGTATTCCCGACATTGCCTGAGCACCATCTGTGCTGATACCTACACATTTTTCCCATTGAAGTGTATTTGTAGTTATGAAGTCATTGACAACTTTGAAAAGGGCTTCAGCAGTTGTATTAAGAGGTAACGATTCACAGAACAAAAAATCTTCACAAACTTTATTTTCGTGTTCATATCGCACCAAAGCTACCAAATTAGCATTATTTGAAATATCGTGGCTTTCATCCAACTGCAACGCAAAATATTCACTATGACGTAACCGTTCTAGCAAAATATCTTTCACATTTTGAGCCATCTCGTCGATTCTTCTTTTCACAGTATTGTCAGATAACGATATTAGAGACACCTTTTTGGCATGTTTTTCACTAAACAAGTTCTTTGTTATCGTTTTTGTAGCAGGCAAAATTAAATCTTCCCCAATTGTATGGCGTTGTCCATTTCTAGCGATCAGAAGGGCGACTTCGTAAGAGGCAAGAACAGCCTTTTCATTTTTCGTTCCACATACAATGTTTTTAACTAAATTCTGTGAACCACAAAGTTGCAGTTTCTTATTTTGAAAATATTCTATTGGCTTATTAACTGATTCGCCATGTTTCGTTTCAAGGTGGCGTCTCAACTTCGACAGCTTCATAGATTCATTCGATAACACTTCACAACAAAGAACACACTGAGGTCTGTCTTCGCCGTCTTTATTCAGAACGGAAGATCCCATTTGCAAATAAGATGGACAATATTTGCGTGATTTTTTGAGGGAAGGAACTTTTATCTGCCCCGGTACTATTTTCGACAACACTAGATTCATTCGGATTATCGTCTGTCTTACGTTTCAATGATCCACACTTTAACCACCGATCCATATCTAAATAAGATCGTGAACAAACTGATAATCAGAAGTTTCGTTGTGAACTCAATTATTTGAACAAAAGCAGAAAAACTGAATATTACAGCGAGAAAAACACACTTGTATAATATAAAAATTCACTGCACAAAAACTAAAGAAACACGGGTTGTTCGCTCTGCCACTGAAATGAATAAGAAACGTGGTCAATGGTCCCAGGTTTATTCCCAACCAAAGAGGGATGGATTTGGTGGGGGAGGAGGGGAGAATGGTCGGACAGCAGGTACTAGGACAGCAGTCCACCCTGAAACACGGGTCTGAGATGCAGTGGGCCGACCAAAAGAAAATGTCCTTGGAAAAAGCTACACAAATCGTTGGTTATTCACCTCTGCTTTACAAAGGGAAGAAGTAACGGTACCAACAGTCCCGTTAAATTTTACTTCAACCATTGGCCTCAAGAGCTAGAGATATACGTTGCAAATATCCGAGGTGTGAGGAACATGATAAGATAAAGTTTAATGAAAATAAACTATCCCGCAGACCCCTTTTGAATTACTCGTGGACCACAGGTTGGGAAACACTGCAGTAAACCAAGATCGCACTTGGTGCTGTTGTCATATTCTTCTTTATTGTTTAAATTAACAAAGTATTTCGAAAGTTTATTTGAACTTCCAGAATTACATTTTTCCTTAATTTTATGTCCCTTGTATTGTGCATGTTGCCTCAGGTCACTTTGTACACCTTGCGAAATACTAAAATCCTTCGTACACAACATGCAAAATGCCCGGTTCTTATCTGGTCCCACGAAAACATATCTTCCCATTTCTTAAGATACTGTCACGTATTGGGCGTATAACGCGACAGATAGATTCACGTAGGCCTCAAATTAAGTAGAACCTTTATTGTTCTTCCGCTTACACAATCACGAGTACAACTACTATTCACTGTGACACCTCAACTATCTTCTGCGGCGGATGTTCCACGACACTCTACTTCGAAGGCTGGGTAAAGGCTAACTTCTCCGAAGGCTTGGTGTCAGAAGTGGGATAGTAGTTGTACTCGTGATTGTGTAAGCGGAGCCCCCTTCGAGAGAATAGCCATTGACATCGCAGGGCCCTTCCCACGAAGCACCCAAGGAAACCGATACCTACTAATCGCTATGGACTACTTTACCAAGTGGCCGAAAGTGTACGCCATTCCAAATCAGGAAGCGTCGACAGTAGCGGAAGTACTGATTGCCAACTTTTTCTGCCGCTTCGGCATACCTCGGGAGTTGCACAGTGACCAAGGCCGTAACTTCGAATCTCAGCTACTGCAAGAGGTTGCCTGGGAGTAAGCAAGACGCGCACAACACCCACCCGCAGTCGGATGGCATGGTAGAACGTTACGCCAAAACCATCGAGGAACACTTGCG